TTTGTCTTCCAAGGCAGAGCAATGTTTTGAGTGATCACTCAAACGCAACTTTTTTTTTTTCTCTTCTGGTTAAATGATCAGTGCTACAACAACGCTAACAGGGAAGGCTGGCAGCATAGCATAAAGAGGGCACTTTACTTCAGACAGAGGAAATAATTTTCCATTTCTTGCCCAGAAGTATCTATTAATTCATGCTCCTGTGAAATATGGACACTACTGACAGGGGAAATGCGTATGTACAAGATTCCTGCTGCCCTTAAGTCTTCTGAAATCTCAATAGAAATTAGATGAAAATCATCAACAATTATTATTATAATATATAAACTGCCTTCCAGCAATCAATATTTTCCCACTAGCACTCACGTTGAAGCATATTCCACCTCACAGGAGGTTTAAAATTTAGTACTGTGAAAAAGTCACCGCGGACATAACATAGTAGGATTTCGTGCAAAAGTCCAAGAAGTCTGGGGCATGCTATCCCACGTCTTGTCTGGAAGCAGTGTGGAGCAACCACCTCCATCCTGTCATGTCCCACAGAGGGAAGAAATCCCTTCCTCCATGGCAACGAGCTGATATCTCTTGGGGGGATTCTGTTTTCTCTGTTTTCCCTGGCTGTGTCTCCCCCGTGGTACCTCCATGGTAGGGTCACACAGGCATGCAGAGCTCTCCTGCTGGTGTGGTACTCTCTTCTACGTTTTTTCTTGGCTAAGTATTCCTTTCTTAGGAGAAAATAATAGATCAGAATTAAACAAATGTTTAAGAAAATAAGTTAAACAGACACTTATTGAAATGCTCTGCCTCAACAGAGCATTTTGCAAGCTTTTGCAACACAGCTCCTGCGCTGCGTGCCTCTGGGAAGTCGACTGGTTTAAGTAACCCTGTCAGCAGCTGAGATCATGACTGTAATAAGATCCAGCAGCTGGCAGAGAAGCAATTTTCAAATACCAGGACAACGTGTAAAAGCAACAAAGGCTCATCCAGCTTCATGATTTGCAAAATCCATTGTGAATAAGTGCCAAGTTAGTACTCCTACGAAAAACAAGAGCACCCGCAGTTCCTGATAGATGTAGTCTTCATGCCCTCCCTCAGCACCAGTGCCAGTCACCAACAGCGGAAACCGGCAGGAGGCATTTCAAGGAAAAAAGTCCCACCCCACCTGCTTGGCTTTTGTCATCTGTAACCAACCTTTTGTGTTTGCCTCCTTTCAGGATGGTCCTTCTCTACTGTAGGCAATGGGTATTTTAGAAAAAGCAGGCTTTTTCTAAAAGTCATGACTTTTCTTCACCACTGCCCTGCAGCTGGAGTGGAGCACAAGGAAGGAAAAGAGGGGCCAGAGACAGCCTTCTGGTAGCTCATACCCAGATCTCCCAAAGTTACCTGGAGGACACATGACACCATTACTCTCTTTACTTGTTCCTTCCTTGGAGTCTTTCATGGGAGCAGGTGATCTGCCCTCTAGATTAACCTTGACACTCAAAACCTGCCCTACAGCTTGATAAGAATAGATTTGGGTATTCACTATTTTCACTGATCTGTCAGACTATATGCTACTATCCTAAACGGAGGTAATCAGTAAAAGACTTTCAACTATGCTTTCAGCATAGGAGAAACATGCAAAACACGTTTCTGTAACTCAGCGCTATTCTTTTGCAAGGGCTCTCATCAGGCCTCCTGACTCCCTACCAGTCACTTTTCAGCAGACGGGTTTTGCAGAGGGAGGCAATGAAAGGATCAACTGAGTATCAAAGACCTGCCAAGCCCTGCAGTGAGTCATGAGTCTCTGTGCTCCAGCTCACTGCTCCCCAGTTTTACTGGGATGAGACCAACAGACCCGTCAAATCATCAGGAAGAATTAATGCTCAGGGAAATTCCCTTTTTTTTGGCTTTAGCTATTACTAAGTGTAATAGAAGAAGCTGTGTAATAGTTTTCAACACTTTCAGGAGACTGTTACCCTGCTATGGGGAACTCAGAAGGAATGGGAAATGTACTGGTGACCAAATCCTTTCTGAATACAGTCAATAGCTGTGACAGGCTTTGAACCTTGCCCAAAGGCAAACAGCATGAGTTCAGCAGCAGAAATTTTTTAGTTTTAACTATTAAAAATTATAATCCCAAGTAAAGATCTGCAACAGCCAACATGAGCTCAACACAAAAAGTGAAGACCAGAACTGAATCCATCTCTAAGTTGAGGAGATCTGAATAGAAAGCATATTAATTTCTTAATGAAAGAACAGCACTTTCATAAATATTCAAAGCAAAACAGGGTTGGGTGGGTTTTGTTTGTTTGTCTTTTTGGGGGGTTTGTTTATGAGGTTTTTGTTGTTGTTGTTTTTGTTGTTGTTGGTTTTGGTATTGTAGAAGAAAAACTTTCATTTATTTAAATATGTTTGTCAAGATATTTCCTTTCTAGGAAAATTAGCTGTACTCACAGTCCTCCAGCTAAGTCCAGAGGAAGCTGTAAGGGCTCTGGCCTGCCAAGATAAGAAACCTGGGGAATACAGCATTCAGAAAAAGCTAAAGTGAGTAGACATCGTAGTAACTGGTGTGAAGGGGGCAGATATACTGCTTGGAATCTTATTATTTCTTCTTCTTAGTGTGGGTTTTGACTTTGCAAATGCTGTTCTAAAGTTATTTTGCGGAGATAAACATTAATGGCTTTTCTGTATACTGCCGTATTTTCAAAAATCAGATGAGGAATTTGACTGTTACTTGGATTGGGTCTCAGGCTGTTATTTGCTCAGAATTTTGAATTATTCATCACTGAAGTTAATCAGAAAGAGTCTGAGTGCAAGAAGGCTGGTTCTGGAGAATCAATTCACCCTGCTGTCTCTTGTTAGGAGACATGAGGAAGTACATGCATTTCTCTGTGCTCATCTACTCATGAAGTACCATTGCTTCAAAACTAGCACTCCTTCAATGAAATTAAAACAGAGGACACAGAGGTTCATGTGTGCTGGGTTTTGGCTTTAGTATCATACAGAGAGAAGAGGCATTCACCCAGGATGCAACTGATGAGGAAGCTAAATTTGTTTGGAAACAAGGTAGGCTCAGCTGCAAGTTGGCGCAGAAAGGAGGGGTCCCACTGCAGCACCATAGTTGCCCTCCAGTTTGTAGAGGTGGCTTCAGCCCCAGAGTGGCTGCAGGCTAAGGAGGCATTGTCTTTGCTCTCCCTGTCAGAGTTTGCTCCTATGGGAACTCTGTGTTGAAAAGAAATGCTGTGCCTTACCAAGATTTCTTGATATAAATATGGAAAACACTGGTATAAATGACTCACCTTTCCTACATTTATAATATTAGATTATTTTGTATATAAAACCACAGTCACCATATTGGGAAGTATCAAGTTCTTACTTTTTCACCTTTTATGCAATGCACAAATTTTCTAAAGGAAAGTTACTTTCCCCATGAGCAGCTCCTGCTCCTCTCTCCAGTCCACATCTCTGATTAGAGGGGTTTACAGCTGTCCTCTCTACCTGCAAGGGCTAATCCTGGATAATTGTTTGGGAAGTCACTCACATGGGTTTTGTTATACTTCTCCCCCGCCCCCCTACACCCCCCACCCCCCTCACACCCCCCCCCCCACTGTTCATTTGGTTTTGCTCTCTTTCTCTCTCTCTCTTCAATTTAAAAATGAAGTAAAGGCACAGTTTGCAGAACATGCTAAACCTGTGGAAGAATTGTTTTGGACAGCTGTATATGACTGTGACTTCTTGTGAAAAAAATCTGCCACAGTAAAGTCTGGAATAAGTACTCTGAAGGTCAGCTGTAGCTACTCTCATGTTTCATGTCATACACAAGGCAGTTGATTCCAGTCTCATAAATATACTCCTGGAAATAGACTTTGCATAGATTAAATCATATACATTTTCATTAAATTTCCTAAAAAGTGCAGTATTGCACATGTAAAAAACATGCTCTGAAACTAGCCGTGAAAAACAGCCACAACTGAGAATGTGGGACCGGAATCTGTGCAGCAAAGCACTAGTGTACATCTTTTGTGAAAATGTGTGGCATTTTTTTACTCATAAGCACTCTCAGCTTGGAAAGATTTTGTTTGTCTGTGTTAAATTTTCTACCTGGATTTCAGTCTTCATGTTCACAGTTTTATTCATTTCCATTTGAAAATGATTTATATTCAAAACAGTACTTTACTATAAATGTCTTAATTTCCAGAGGAATTCTAAGTGGAAAAAATATTGGAAGGTTTCAGGTCAAGGGCATCATATACAGCTAACCTGGTAACACAATGGTGATAAAATACAGCTTGCTCCAAAATACTATAATGGTGAGTGAAAGAAAGGATCTGCTGACTCTTTACATTTCTTTCTTTACCTTTCTTTCTTTGCCTTATAGACTCTCTACCTTTCTTTGAAAAACCAAAGAAACATTGTAAATACTGTTTGGCATTTGCTTTTTACCTCTTTTTTGTCCAACAGCCGTGTCTGTACCAAAGTCTCTATGCTTACATGAGTCTTCGAGATACTGTCTCTTTACAAATAATTTCTGTAACCTCACAGATGACTGAAAATTAATTGAAATCAAATGCTGGTTTGCAAGCTCATATCCACTGTCTCTGAGATCCTCTTCCTTTCTTCATCAATAGTTCATTTTTCTTTAAAATCCCTTCTGTACACCCAATAACAGATTATTGACTAATAGGCAGCTGGGTGATCAAGAGCTGAAATGCTGTCTTGCCAAAATATACACACATTTACCTGCAATTCTTACACTTGTCTATAATCTCATTTTGCCCTCTACTGCCCACTCTTGTTTTCTGCACTGTAAAATACCCCGTTGACTGGAATACTTCAAAACATATATCTACTTTGTGATTATTAAGGATAATTGTGAACCAAAAAGGAAGCTTTTGGGGATGAGAATTTCTGAATAATCTGTGGGCTATGAATTAACATCTTCCTACTGCAGGAAAGTGTGGCAATCCCTCATGAGAGGGCAGTTGAAGATATTCCATTCCATTTCCATATTTCAGTAAAAATGGGGCTGTTTCAGTATCAGTTTACTGCACTGCAGAAGTCTGCTAGAATGTCACAACCAGAAAACTAAACAGGCTGAATGTCCTTTTATTATACAGGCTTGCAGAAGTGCAAAAAACAAACAAGCAGTTCGTGCAAGAAAACAAACAAGCAGGAAATCAGATTTCCAACAGTCTGGCAGTGGAACTACCCCAAGTGCTGTTAGTTACAAAGCACAAAAAAATCTTCAGCTGTAGTTTTTTGGGTGGGATCTCACCCTTTTGTCTTTCTGGTTGTGCCGGATCACGGTAGCGTTGTTAGCAGATTTTCCTTCTGTTATCTCAGCTTCAGACCTGATACCTATAGCAGTCATCATTTCCTTTAGCTTGCATCCGTAACTGGCAGAGAGGAGAGCATGTCTACCCTGCAAAAGAGACCTCTGTCACAGACTGTAATTGAGATCTGGACAACCATTGCTATTGTTCTTGCCAGTTCATTTTTATCCAGACCTGCTCTTATTATTCGCACTTTGAATGCTACTATTCTGAATGGCTACAGACCACAGAAAGCTTTCAAATGTCTCATGACCAGATGCTAAAAGCAACCCCCAGCAATTTCAGCCCTCTGGGACTGAAATTTCCTTCTTTTAAGACTTATTTTGCCATCTCTCCCCTACCTCTTCATGTAGAAGAGGAGAAGCCTGTGCTCAGAGATGATCGGCTTTGGCCACAGGACACAGCTGCTTTTTTTTGTCACCTTTTATTTATTTTTTGGTAATCCAGCTGGTATGTAACTCTGTATTTGCTCTTTTTAACATACAGCAAGCAGCTACAGAAAACACAATTATTTGGAATGGAGTTACCCAGGGACAATTTCTCAAGCGTAAAATCCTATCTTATCCTCACAGAAATTAGTGGACTTTTACCCAGTAGAAGTAGTTTATTTTGAGTAAGTTGTTTATATTGCTATTATTAGTCAAAACTATGTGGTCTAGGGGGGAACTTTGCTGGAATACTAACAGCCGCATGTTTCTGTGAATGAACAGAATGTCAGAATGTCATAGACAGAATTCTGTCTATGAACAAATGGCAAGAGGCAGAAGATTTCATGCCACAAGAAAGCATGGCACCAAATGAAAGTGAACTGGAATGGAATCAAGTCTGAGATTACAGCAGCCAGGAACAAATAGGATGTGCCATTGGCTAATGTGGCTTTCGGATAGTTTTATGTAGAGCAGTTACTTCAGATAAGCTTGTGAAAGAAGTTAAAGTGAATTGGAAAGTTGGTAGGATGGAAAAAAAAAAAAAAAGAAAAAAAAAAATTTCCCCAGATAGAGGAGGGAAATATAATTTAACTAAATGTAGCAGCATGCAACTGACAAGTTAATGCAGAAACTGTAGTTATTGCACGCAATTTTCTGCATAGACAAATTCTTCTAGAATTACTTTATCCCTTTGAACAAAGCAAGTGTTAGAATGCATCAAATCTGTAAAAGGAAACATCCTTGAAAGAGAGCATACAAAACTTGAAAGAATAATAAAGAGCATCAACTTAAACCAGGACCATTTATATAAACTCCTTCCCATAGAGTAACCTCATATGAAAATTCACATGAATTATTTTACAGGTAGTGAGCACATAGTGCTTGCCAAAGAGAAGTTTACCAACACTGAACAATATATTACATTAAAAAAAAAAAAACAACAAAGAAATCATTAGCAATATTATTATTCAAATATGATCAAAGTGAACTAGAAGAACTGTTCCAAGATAGATCATAGTATTTAATTTTAAAGCTAAATTATATCAGGTCAGAATCTTTGTACCTTACTTGTAAAGCTTCCTTATGACTTTATCAATCAATTGAAGACATCTCCTCATTTCTGCACGGCTGATCTCCCAGGAGCACAGGTTGTGTTGTTTCTCTTTAAGAAAAGAGTCTATCTTTTGGAAATACTTTTTCAGTTTCAGCTTGTTGACTTCTTTACTCCAAAAATATTGAGTCTGTTTCTTGATTATGCATGCCTCCAATTGCTCAATTTGCTGATAGAGTCCATTTTGGAATTGTTCTAGAGCTGCCCCATCCCAGGCAGCTAGAGTCAGATTTTTGCTAAAGATATAGAAGATGTGTTGCAAGATTTCTTCAATGGCTACTTTAATAGTTTCTTTCTGTCTGGGTTTTAGAACCTGCTCAGGAAATCTGAAGGACATTTTCTCTCTTAGACACTGTTGAGGAAACCGTTTGCCCATTTTGTCCAAAAGTTGCAGGCTGCTTTCAATCACTTTTCTTTGCTGTAAAGGAAGGTGATTACAGGTGAGGCTTGAGATGGTGATAGTGCATAACAGAATGAGGCCAATTTGTGTCAAGCCAAAAGTGTACATGATAAAGATAAGCAGCTGTGCTTCTCCTTTCCTGTACAAATCCCAAGTGATAGGCTGGATTGCTTTGAAGGTCATTCATAGGCTCCTGTTTCTCCAAAGTCCTGAAATTTAACTATTCTGTGAGAGAAGTTTTCTTTCATCATTTTTTGGTTTTTAAGGTTTTCCCCCTTGTGTACGCTTTTACACTTACCAGTTTCATTTTCTGCTTTATGACTTCATTGTCTTTTTTTTTTTTTTTTATGGCACTTTCTTTTTATTTCAGCTGAATATGAAAGAATGTGTACCTTAGATCATCAATTCCCTCTTCTTCAAAAATTCTACAGTTATACAAAGAATTTAAAAGAATAACCTACAGAAATGTCTTTAGTTTCTAAATGGTTTGGCAGTGAGATAACACAGTGAAACATAGTACTGTCAATGTAAAGTTGAAGATAAAGTTGAAGATCTGTTAAATATTAATAGTAACGTCTCCTTAACATGGTTTATACTCCCACAGTTCAGCTGAGCTTTATCTACCTACTTTCATTCAAGGAAATTGCTTTCTTTCTCCTCGTCTTTAATTCTGGTGTCTATTTGGTGACAGCAACATGAAAGACAAGCCACATTCCAGATGGCCATACAGATTTTTATGAGTGCAAATGCATAGCTAATGATGGTGAGTACAGTGTGAAAAATACTGTTTTGTAGCTGTGAATTTGCTCTCTTGAATAGCATTATTGTGCTCTTTGTATCTGTTGTAGTTTCCATGAGAATAAATAGAAGGCATTACTTTCAGAACAACCTACATATTTTAAATGTATGCATATCTGTAACTGTGTGTGTATTTACATTAAATAACAATACATGTATTTTTATATCTATATTCATATATATATATTGTGGTAATTAAAAGGGGTTTGATTTCACTCTGACTGTAAGTGCCGTGAGAATGCAAGTGCTAACATTGAAACAAATATACTTTTTAATATGAGCAACTGAGTAGTAATTAACATCAATGCCAGTAGAGCACGGGTCAGAATACTGACATTAAATGGAGAGAAAACGAAGAGAGAAGACAAAAATTGTCCTAAAATTCAGCCATTTGTTTCCTTTAGCCATATAAGTCAGGACTATTAGTGCACCTGGAAATCTCACTCGTCTTTCATTTTACTTTGATGAAAAATAGTTTTAAACTAATATTTTAGTGTTTCTTTATCCTGCTGTGCAAACGTATCTAACTGCAGAGAAAATTTACAAAGGCAAATGGTTACATCTGTATGAAGAGGTCAGACAGACTGTTTTTTCAGTCTGAGAACTGGTTTGATTTTGTGCCATTGTTGCAGTGCCACTCTTTGCTATATGGTTCATTCCTAGTCTGATGATCACCCTGAACAGATTTATGATACTATTTTAGGGCTTCCTTTGTGTTAAGCATGTATGTATTCAGGAAGCATTAAAAAAGGTCATAAATTAAGATGAGCAAACTCCTTGGTGTCCCTGGAATTTCTTAAGCAACTTTGGGTTGGATGTACCTGCCACTACAGAATACAGAATACGTGATTTCCTTATCATAATCTTTGGAATGGTGTTATTAAACACAAACAATAAGAACAGGATGGAAAGTGAATGACATGAAGCCACATCTTTTTGCTTAGTGGGAGCGTTCAATACTTTGAAAAAAATAGCCATGTATTGTATGACTGTCATTAGATACCAGATGGCCATGGAGACATATCATATGCAAAAATACAGCTGTAGAAAGCAAATACGTATTATAGCCATCATGAAATGAATTAAAATTTACCCAGCCCCAGAAAAATATTTCCTACTACTACAGTATGTTTTTCAAAGCTGTAATAATGATCTTAATTCTTCTACTGATGTTTTTCACAAGTATATTTAATTTAAATAAATAAAATTTAAATTAGTTCAATTCAAATTTATTTAAGTAAATTTATTCACCTCCATTGTATCTCCCAGACATACGAGTTTTTTTATTCCCTCTTGCAAAGTATTTTTTAAAGGTTTCCCTCTCAATGGAGAACTGTAAATGTCTTTCCTACTTTATTTTATTTTTTTTATAACAACAAATCTTTCTTCCCCACTTGGTCACCTTTTTTTGCTTTTGTACTGAGCAGAGTAATAATACCATTACATAACTTACACAGTCTTCTCTAATCACCCATCCTTAATGCTTAATTAAGAAATATTTCAATAAAAGTAATTACTGGAAGATGCAGCTCCGTGATTTAAGGCTGCAGCCCAGAATGCTCTTGATCATTTCTCTGTCTGTGGCTGAAGCAAAACACACACTAACCTAGAATAAAAAGAGGAAATATGTTTACAAAGTATAGCTATATTTCCAAGTAGACATAATAGATCACTCTTGTAAAGAGTACCTACTCTTTGATTCCATGCAAGCAGCTCTGCCCTTAAAAAGTCATCTTACTACACAGGTATTCATCACAAGAGTGTAAGACTAGAGATAAATATATGCAAAACTTCTTCATTTCTAACACCTTTAGATTGTTTAAATTGCTTCTCCAAGGAAAGTTTTTAATCTCATTGTAAAATGCAATGAATACTTGGGACGAGTATTTGCCATCCCTTATCACATGTTTTCTTTTATCTCAGGCACCAATGAAAGCAGTAAATCATTCAGGCTACATTCATGCCAGCAAATGGAGCAGCACACAGGAACATTCCAGCAAAATAGGAACATGGATTATCCGATCAAAATAAGCAGTTCCTCTCACCATTTCACCTACTCTGGCTGTCAGTTTCCTTTCTCCGTTAACTTGTTAAAACCACGCTGACTTTAACAAGTCAGCATGCCACCACCAAGAAGTCCAAATAGGCTCAGCTTGTCACCATACATGGTATCTTAAACAGGGAATTGTGCACTAATACCATCCTTGCAATGAGTGCACAAGGATAGGTAAGAAATTTATATATTTGTTTAAATTACAAAATCTGAAAATACAAAGAATATCTGAACACGTGAAGAATATGTTAAGTAATTTAAAATGTTTACATCACAATTTATTTAGCTCGTATACTACAATTAAATTCACACTCAATTTCACAGTCTGCACTGAGAAGATCTAACTCAGCCATGTGATGTTTCCAACCTGCTGTCCTGACTCCTGGCATTCTGTTGACCTGTCCCAATCCAATTAAGTTGTTTTATCCTACGCTGAACTAATTCACCGAAATAATTTGTGCAGTGTATACTTGATTTAGCAAAGTGCTCTTTGATAAATTGCAATTCTACAAAACAAACAAGAAAAAGCGCTACAGATATTTACTGGAAAAGAGATTTGAGAGTCCTCAAATGAGCAGCAGCAAAGAGAATTATTATAACTTACTCTTTAAGCATGGAATTAAAAAAAAAAATAATGACAATTTCCTTTATGATACTTAAGAATTGTCATCTTACTTATAAAAACTACAGACTGATTAGGATTTTTTTATGCTTAAAGAGGACCAGGAAGAAGCTGTAGGCTCAAGGGCATTCCAAGGGACTGTGTTCAGGAGATGGAGAGCTGGATGGGGGAGACAAGAGACCCATGTTCCACTCTCCCCATACACCTTGCTGCCTTAAGCCCTTCTCTTGTGGGCCCTCAGCACATGATGCACCCAGAGAAGTCTCACCCAAGCGGGCAATAGGCTGCAGATTGTCCTGGTCAAATTTGTTCTGCAGGAAGCATAAGGAGAATCGTGCTAAGAAGTGGATGTGACCAGGAGTAGGGCAGAGCTGGAGCAAAGGGGCTGGCTTCAGTAGTAGCAAGGCTGAGCAGCAAATGCTAGGGAAATGGGAGAGCCTGCAGCAGTGAGGCTGCTCCTTCTCTCCACTCTAGCACTTTGGGATGGGAGCACCATCTTCTTCTGATTTCTGTGCCCTCCTATTTGACTTCTGGAGAATTTGTATAGATAGGTCATACTCTCTGAAGTGATTGGCTCCCATACAGGCATGCTCTGCCAAACAGTGGGAGATCATAGTGTGTGAGGTAGACCTGAAATCCAGGAGATCCTGGAGTGAGGCAAGAGACATCAGAAGGTGCCAGGAGCTCTCAGTCTGTTGGAAATATCCAGATAGTTTATCAGGATGTTATCTCTGATAAAGCAGATTTTATTCACAGTTGCAGTGGTGGGCATCCACAGAAAACAACATTATGTTTTTTTTATACCCTATTACCTCTTTCTCCCCTGGTTCCTCATTGGCTGAGTACTTCAGGTTCGCAATCTTCCCAATGCTCAACTAAACATACGGACACCAGATAAACATAAATTTTTGCTAGCAAAGCATATATTGCAAATTATTTAGCTTCTGACATTTGCTCAGTGTATAATCAATGAATATTAAGATGTTATTAAGATGTTATAATTACAAAATAAACAAGAGAAATAGGCAAAGCAGATACGATAACAAAGAGACTAGATAGAAAACTTAGCCATATCCTGGGCTCACTTACAAAACTCCAATGGAGTAGATCTCCAGCAGAGATCCTTCCCCACTGGTAGTCAACTCTTAAATAGGTCTGGGAGAGGTGGAGCCAGGCTCCACCCCTTCCAGCAGCACAGCTGAATTGCCTCCACCTGTGCTCCCATGGCTGACTCATGGCTCGCCTCAGGTGATCAAGCAGGGGTTCAGGCCATGATAACGGTTCCCATACACTCACTCAATACTTGGTTGTTATTTCTGGAATCTGCTTGTTCTTGTATACAGATAAGTTTGGAAGGAGGATAGAGGGGAGCATCTTGATGCTTGCCTATTGCATCCCAACCTACCCATAGAGCAAGGCAATCCAGCCTTGTGTGAAAGCCCTGGCTTCTTTGATGTTGTTAAATCTGTTTTTCTTTCGCTGAGGGTCTCTTATCCAAACAGAATAGTCTTACAATATGCTTTCTAGTCCATAATACTATAGCCGTTCTATTTGCAACATTTAAAAACTACTGCAGTTTTGCGTGCAAGAATTAATCACACAATTCAATTACTATATTTCTAAAATATGCTACTAACATATATGGCATTTCTGCTTTTTCACATCAGCCATTTTAAGGACAAGTTACAAATACGCTGTGCTCTACTTCTTCAGATCAGTTCCCCCTTCTCATTATCTAATGCAGAAATAACACTTCATTCCTTCAAGTCCTCATGAGAGCAGCTGAGGAGGTATGAATGGGGTTGGGAACAGTGGTGAGACACCCCCACATGTATATAGCCAGCCTCCGGGAAATGAGTGACTGGCAGCATGGGAACAGAGCAGGCAAAGAAGACTGGAATGTCAGTAAGGATGTGGGCAGCAGTAGGTGAGAGTGCAGGCAGGGAGTAGGAAGGCTACACAGGGAGGAAAACATATTTCTATTGAATCAGTATAGTGACCACCCCTGTAGTCAGAGGCTGAAGCAGAAATCCAAACTGGATGGCCATTACCTTCTAATTCAGATGCATGGACCCAACAGAACTCCAGACAAGTAACAGAGCTGCCCAGAACTTCCACCACAGGGAACTCCAGAACCTGGGCTTGCAGTTGCTAGGGGAAAGCAGCAGGGAACTGTTCTCAGGTGGAAGGTCTGCTCATCGTAGTAGTTCAAGGAGGAGGTGAAGAGACTAAGTAGCATCAGGGCATGTGAGCAGGAGATTGATTGGTGAGGTAACGCCCTGGGTGTCCCCAGAGTGTGCTGGAGTCCATACCCTGTCATTTATTGCGCTGAGGTAGGGAACCAAAAAGATGAGGAGGATTGAAAGAGAGTCCAAGTTAACTTTACAGGCAACCCCCCTACCTACCTACCTCATTTCCCCTAGGGCTCCTCCATTATAGATTTGAGGCTCTGGATCTTAAGAGAGAGGTAGCTGAGCTTGTGGTGGAAAGCCCATCTACAAGCTCAAATAGGAAGAGGCAGTTGATACCTTGCCTGAAGACTGCCTCTGATAAGAAAGAAAGAAGGGTAATTATAGTAGGCAATTCCCTTCTGAGAGGAACAGAGGGCCCAGTATGCAGGTGACCCTCATCAGTTATGGTTTTATGATTTTTGATTATCAGTATTCCTCACCATAACATCATGTAATGCACTGGGGGTTTGACTGCTGATGCTCAAGTTCCGGGTGCCTGTCTGGAGGCAAAGAACTACATTTCCCCAGGAGGCTTTGCAGTCAGCGAGGAGATATAACTCTGTGCAAGGTCTGGTATCAACCTGATGTTCTCTTCTTCGCCTGCGCTTCTCCATCTGCTCTTCTCCATCTGCTCTTCTTCATTGGCTCAACCGGACTGCACTTCTCACCTCAGTGTTGTGGTGAGCCCTATCCACCTTTCAGACACGCACTCTCTCTCTCATTCTATTTTGCTGATACTATATTTAGTAAATTAGTTTGTTTCACCTTAGATCGGTTGCCGCTGTTTTCAATTATTTTGGGGTCCCCTGTTTCCTTTTTCCAGAGGCACGGATCCGTGGATCCCTCTGCCCTGCTAGTCACAGAACTGGGCCAAACCAGCCTGTAAACCGTTGACATCATCACAGGAAAGTCTGCAGTCTGCCTGGAGCCTGGATCAGAGATATCACCAGGACACTCCCCAGCCTGGTGTGCTTGACAGTCTGCTACTGATCTGATACTGATTTTTGGATGAGGATATGGGACAGAATAGAAGGATCGAGTCCATAAATGCTTGGCTACGAGACTGATGCTACAGGCAGGGCTTTGATAATGGCTGGTTTTATACACATAGGAAAGGTTTATCTCACAGAGGCAAAAGGGATCTGGGACAGGAATTAGCGGGGCTCATCTGGGGAACTTTAAACTAGATTTAAAGAGGGATGGGGCTGTAACTGGACTTGCAGTGGTGGGACAGTGGGAGCCTACCACCCCCCTGGGTGAAATCTGCATGCTCAGCTCACTCCCCAAAATTCCTGTACACCAATGCACGCAGGAGTCAGAAATCTGTATTCAGTCAAAAGATTATGATTGGGTGGCAATTACAGAGACATGGTGGGACAGCTCACGTGACTGGAATGTGGTCATGGATGGCTATGTCCTTCTCAGGACAGACAGACTAGCTAGGTGAGGTGGTGGAGTTGATTTTTACACGAAAGAGCAACTGCAATGTATTGAGTACTGTCCAGGAATTGATGAGAAGCAGGTTGAGAGTTTGTGGGCGAGGAGTAAGGGGCAGGCCTGCATGGGTGATACTGTTGTGCGTGTCTATTACAGGCCACCCAATCAGGACAAGGAAGTTGATGGTGCCTTCTACAGGTAGCTGGTAGTAACTTCACAATTAAAGGCCGTGGTCATCATGGGGGGAATTTAACTAGCTGGATGGCCTACTCAGCCAACCACTCACAGTCCAGGAGGTTCCTCCAGTGCATTAAGGATAACCTCCTGATGCAAATGGTGGGTGAGCTGACTAGTAAAGGGGCACTCTGCATTATTCAGAGAAAGCCACAAAGATGGTCAGAGGGTTGGAGTGCCTATCCTAGAAAGAAAGACTATCAGGAGTGGGCTTTTTCAGCCCATGGGGAGTGGGCTTTGTCAGCCTGCAGAAGGCTTCAGGGAGACTTCACTGTGACATTTCAGTACTTAAAGAGAGTTTATAAAATATATGGTAGACCCAGCATTTCACATGGTCAGACAGTGACAGGACAAGGGTGAATCATTTTAAACTAAAGCAAGGCAGATTTAGAATAGATGTTAATAGATGTTAAGAAAAGTTTTACTGAGAGGAACAGGCTGCCCAGAGAAGCTGTGGATGCTCCATCTCTGGAGGTGCTCAAGCCCAGGCTGGATGGGGCCCTGGGCAGTCTTAGCTGGTGGGTGGCAACTGTGTCTATGAAAGGGAAGTTGAGACTGGACAATCTTCATCTCCCTTTCAACACAGTACATTCTGTGATCCAATGATCTTCAGTGTTTATCTGAAAGAGTGTTTCAGCGATTGTGGAGTCCTAGAGGCTTTGCAGTTGCTCCCAGTTTTGAATGGAAGGCAGTTTTCTCCCTCCTGTAAAAGCTTGATCCACCTGGCACTTCTGAAGAACCCCATGTTCAGACTAACCTATACTGCCAAGTGCTGTGAATCTACAGTGGCATTTCTCAGGTCTGCGCACTCCCATGATGGTTGTCACCAGTTCCTTATGCACAGCACAAAGTTTCTAAGTGTGTGTGTTGGCACAAGTCCCCATGGGCTGGTCTGGAGCATGTGGTCACCATGTGTCTGGCAGGACAGACAGCAGCACTTTGGAAGTCACATGGAGAAAGGAAAGCAGCAGTATACAGTGTTGCATGGTTATGATATATCCTTGGGGCAGAAAGTGATTAACCCAACTAAGACATCAAGATGTCGCAAGAGGAATAAGCTGCTCTGAGAGCGCGTGAAAAGTGACATCACTTTGTACCGAGCTAGCAGACATGCACCAGATCAGATTTTTAGTTACTTTGCTTCCTCTTTTTAAATGCTGTTCATAAAATGTTTCCAAATATCCCTGGTGAATGGCATTTATTCCCATTACCTTTCTTGCGAACCTGGGATGCCTTAGTTCCTGCTTGCTCCCGAGTAACTCTATCATGCACTTTGTTGTGGTTCTGTGATCTTTGTTGTCAGTATACCACATCAGAACATCATGTGGACCAGTGTTAGATCGACGAGTTAATGAACGAGTTAATGTTCTGGTTCCCTTTACCCCCTTTTACGGGCACTTTGAGTATCCTGATGTGAGGGGAGGGGGCGGCATGCCCAGAGGACCAGGCGGGAAGCGGAGGTGGGCTGGAGCTCCGGGCAGAACCCGAGCATCTGCCTCTCTCCATCAGCTGTGTCAGCTCACCCCGCAAAAAAGCACGTGCTTTCCCTCGCACTGTCATGGTTTGACTCACATTTTGGATACTCATATCTCTCTCGTTTTCTTTCATTTGGTTAAATTCAGTAAATTACCGTTCCACCTCAGATCATTGCCATTGTGTTTTCATTAAAGCTACCTGCTAGCTCTCTGCCGGGTCGCGGCAAACTGTTCGTACCCCTTCCTTTTTTTTTCTTTTTTTTTTTTCTTTTTCGCTGGGCCTGTGCCCCCTGTCACATACTTATATCTAGGGATAACCCCGTGACAACTTTCAGAGAAACTCTGTAGTGTGAGTGACGCACAGAACTTAAGTGCTGATGTGAAGGTTGTTTGCTTTCTGTAGTGTAGGAGGAGAGACAATAACTTGCACTGCTTCTCTTCTACCTAACTGCTCTTTCCCAGAGGGGAATTGGTCCAGAGGGTTGGCAGTAAAGGGATGGGTTGACTCAGAGTCGATGCGTGAACAAAACAGAAGTGAAGACTGAGCCATTTCTCCTAATCTGTTCCTGAGTTTGGAATGCAGTCTGTGTAAAATTGTGGTACTATGTGGTTTTCCTCACCAAATACTTGGGGGCTGATGCTGCTCCCTCACTTCAGAAAACCTTATTTGATGTTTCACAGAAACTTCGAAATCAACACAGAAAAAGTGTGAACTACTCGTTCACGTGTTCAGCTTCCACACTCCTCAGAGGATCAGGGTGTCTCAACTTTGGCAGAATGTTTAGGTATTCTGTAGGATGATGGGAGGTGTGCAGAGCTGTTAATAAAACCTCCTTCATTGATCTGAGTCACAAGGGAAAGCAAATTTCAGCTAACACTCATGGAGCAGATGTTGGTCTTAGGAGGACAGTCTTACTCTTCATAAACAATGCAAGAGAAAGAGCTCTTTTTTCGCTGGCCTATTTTGTTTGATTCTTAATTAGTGAAAAATCACAATTGGTGACTTACTCATTAGAGTCAAACATTAAAGAGCTGTTTTCTGTCTTGTTGCTCAGTATGCATAAATTAATTGCTGCTACAGAAAGACAGTAAAACTCCACTTCCTTAAGCAACGCTGAATTTGCATTGCTAGTTATACTTGCATGTGTCTGGAGGCCAGAATCTTACCAATACATTTCAGCCCTGTTCAATTCCAGGCCAGGAAATTCAATTCTGCTCCGCACAATACAAAAGGGATATTAGGAAAGGGACAACAAAGCAGGTCAGAAGGTGGAAGGCATGTCCTCAGAGAGCTCAGAGAACATGGGTTGATGCTCTTACGCTGACTGGTAGTAAGGATGCATGCTATGGGACTGTGGAGTTCCTGCGCAGAGCATCCAAAGGGAAAGCTGTGAAACAGCTCTGTGTTGGCTCTGGGGCCAGGTGGGATCTGTGTGCAGAGAGCATCTCTGGAGCTCCCTGAGTGGCAGAACTGGGAGAGGAACACCCATGGGAGGTTCCCGTGGGATCTGGAGTCAGCAACAGCAGCAGCACCATGGGGGCTGGGTTTGGGGATGCACCACCTGAGCATGGTGGGTTTCTAAGCCCCGTGCCTGTTGCAACACCCGCAGCCTTCACAGATGTCCCTCACATCCCTCCAGACAACACAGGGCTAGGGCGCCGTCATCTCCTTTTGCTTGGTTCACTCGCATCCATGGGACAGAAGCAAAGTGAGGAACGCCCAGTTCCTCAAGTAGAAATGGGCTGCTCAGAAAAAGACTGTGAAAGAACACCTTCTGCATCACAGCAAACGCACATCGCTGAGGTGGAATAATTTGGTGTTTTATTTTTTAAGGAAGCTGTTTTTAGAATGTCTCCGAATGTCCTTAGTCGATGTCATTTCATTCTCGTACTCTTGCCATGAACCTGCACCCGATAAATGCACGTGTGTCCTGCATTTCCCCAGTTGCTGAGTGTGACGAGCTTTATATGCCAAAAGGCTCTGGGGGTCTCGGTCTGAAAAACAAAGAAGACAGGAGACTTCACACCTGGCCTGGAAGCAACCGCAGCTGCCTCAGTGCATTTCCTTGTCAGCACGGTGGTGCCTGCTTGGGAGCCAGCTCCCTCCTTGGCTGAGGAGGAGGCTTTTCTCTGCTTCCCTTCTCCCGAGCAGCCCCACTAAGGCCCCCACTAAGGCCCCCCCCACTAACAGAGCCAGCGTCTGGCCTGCGGGAGCAGGATGAGCAGCAGTGGAAGCTTGATGCCACGTGGACCCAGAAGGCGTGGGGCCTAGCAGACATAGAGCTGCCAGGCGCTTTAGTCCAGCTCACGCTTGCTTCTTCCCTTTTCACTCTTCCCTTCACCGTGGACTCTGTGTGGTATGGCTGGGGAGCACACCTGCATGTGGGCTGTCTAGGAGTGCCAGCGCAGACAGCAGCTCCTTCACCTGCCTGGGCCACAGATGCCAACCGGCCACTCACTGGGAACAGGGCATGCACGTGGCAATGTCTCCTGGCTCTCACCACCTGATACCTGCATTTTAGGGCATTTCCCAGCACGTGTGGGCTTGCAAGGCTCTGCCCTGCCAAAAGAGGTGGGCACTGCTGGGGAACTCTGTGCTCCTGCTCCTGGCCCAACGTGGCGCTCTCCCTGCTTCATTTAGCTACCCTGCCATGTCATGTGCTCTCGGCCCTCTGAACCTCAACATGTTTTTTTCTAGCTGGTGCTGGACCCCTGCCTTGGCAGGACTGCCCACACTTCTCCTGCCACTGACTTGCTGCCAAAGTGGTCTGGAATGGTCTCCTGCCCGCACGCAATGACTGTACCTGCAGTTCAAAGGTCTGGGACAGCTCTTCCCTGATATTATAGGTGAATTGCCCAAGCAACTCTTCGTTCTCTCCTTCCTTGTCCAGTCCCTATGAGATAAAGCACAGGGCAGCAAGTCAACATGTGTCACACCTGGGCCGCCGGAGCTCCAGCAGCTCCTGCAGTTCTGCTGCAGGATGTGGTGGGGCTGAGTCTCCCCTTGAGCACTGCTCAAAGGACGTACTGGTCCTCTTCTCCAGTATATTTCCTAGCAGAAGCCTTTCCCAACAGCTACGTCACATCCCCATGTACCAGCAGACACTTACAAAGACCGCAAAGTCACGGGGAGCGCTGCTGATGTGCCACAAGGTTGTGTCCACCGTGTGCTGCACAGTGACTGCAGTCGGCTGGACTTCTGTGGGCAAGTTGAAGACAATCTGGCTGTTAGATGTTTTCATAGGCCAGCAGTATCCCGGGGAAATGTCCAGCTGAAAGCAGAGAGTAGGAAGTCATGAGGCGCATGCTGCTGCCTGTGCAGCCAAAAGCACAGGCAGCACTGAGCATGTGAGCTGCTTGGGTGCTGCAGGCGGCAGGCAGGGAAGCAGACACGCCCAGCTGTCTTGCTGGCATGGGAAAGTTCCCATGGAGAGGAAAATATCCGTTACGAAACATGGGATGCCCCACACCGGAGTCAGGGCTATGCAGAAAGATCCCAGCAGCTCTGCATCGTCCCCTGCCTCCAACCCCTGCCCAACCCAAACAACAACGATCAGAGCTGACAAAGGCCAACAGGGTGCCCGAGAAGATTCCTCACGCAGCCCTGACCACGGGATAGTGGGATGCAGGATGTAGCAGCACAGCTCAGCCCAGGTCAGCCTGCCTTCAGAGGAATGCCCCTGGTTCCTGGTAAGCCAAGCCCCGAGGGAGGCCTCAGGAGCCGGGCACCTGAGGAGCACCGTGGGCTTGAGCAGTGCTGCAGAGGGGCCTGAAGGGAGAGTCCCAGGGGCCTCCTCCGGCTCGACAGGAGGGAACAAAAGCAGCACTGAGGATCTCTGCTACCATACCTGCTCAAAGGTCTCCAGCATGTTTGGAGCGCACAGGATCCAAGCCACCCTGCAGTACCATGCAGACCTGGATGATCTCTGCAGGTCCATGGAGACCCCTGAATTGAGAGGAGAGGAGAGCAGATGATTGCCAGGGGCCCAGTCTCCCAGCACCTAGTCGGCTCAAGCTACCTCTGTCTGCCTGCTGACTGCATCCCTCTCTCAGGTGCACACAGATGAGGTTTGTGGACAGTGGCAGCAGCACGGCCCTCTGCGAAGGGCAGCAGGCTCAAGTCAAGGCCGCACTGCGTGAGGAGAGCTAAGAACTCAGGACCTGGTTTCAGTCTCTGAGAAATCTCAACCAAGTGCAGTAACTCCTGTCAGGGGTGTGCCAGGGGCACCACTGCAAGGAGCGAGGGCATGAGGGGGCTGAGCCACTGAGCCCAAGGGAGCTGTGGTGCCACGGTGATTTGGGCCAGGTGATTTAGTCTCATCCGGCTCTTCCTCCTTTGGCAGCGCTGAGCATAAGCCCAGTGTAACAAGATGTGCCTGCCTGGGTCCATACCTGCACTTTTCAGAGCCCGGTCAGACTTGGTGAAGCAATTTTCCCGAGGCCTCACAGGCACTGCTCCTTTCAAGACCTGGCATTCCTGGGGAAGACAAAGCAGCACAGGAGATGAGCACGTCAGCGGGCTGCCACGTTGCACCACTGGGTTGTGTGTCAGAGCTAAGAAACCTTTCAGGAAGCATCAGAAAGCAAGACACAGGCCTCGTCTGCAGGGACCCTCAGGCTCTTTTCATCAGCAAAAGTGAAGGGCTGGGCAGGAGTTTTTGTGTCCCCCGCCATAGTATGGGCCTGGGCACCCGTTGTCCACCTCCATTCTCTCCAGATGCACTGTGGCAGGCTGGGATACGTCTGGAAGGGCACCCAGGTGTCTCCACTCTCTGGGAAGACACCAGAGCTGCCAGAGGTCCTGGATAACCAGGACAACAATGCGGGCAGCTTTCCAGCAGCAGGAGGTGGCCCGGTTAAACGTGACAAAAGAGAAAGCCTTTGCAGAAGGGGAGCTCAACCAGCAATGGCTGGCACGAGATGAGTGGCTGGGGTCAGAAGGCAAATCCCACAGGCAGCCCCACAGAAGTGCCCTGCCCAAGGCTCTGCTCATCCTAGCCTCTTCCCTAAAGCTCAGGATCACCTTCATCGCAGTGTCACACTCTTCAGCCACGTAGGACACCCTCTCCCTCTGGTTTTCAGTCCCCTGGGTTTGCTCAGTCACCGAGTTCCTGCAAACACACACAAAGCAGATGTTGTCAGAGCCCCTGAAGTGCACTCAGAGCTCACCGATGAGCAGATGCACAGACACTCCTTGGTGCTTCCTTTTTTTTCCCAAGCCTAGGACTGCCTCCCATCACCACCGTGTTTAATAAAAGGCAGAGAGGGAATGGCACAAGCCCTGGGGATTGTGCAAGGCAGCGCAAATGGCAAGAACTCGTCTGCCACTATCCCACCACGAGAGCAGCAGGTCAGATGGGGACCCTTACCCTGAGTTCATGAAGCGTGGATCAGTCTGCATCGACAGCATCTGAAAAAAAAAGGCCATTTCCATTGGAGCACCAGTCACTGCTGGCAACAGCAGGACACGTGCATTTGCCCACCCACCACCTACAGACGTCCTCTGCGGAAATTCCCTGTCAGTAATCGTCACTGACCTGCAAGAACTCCTTTGTCAACGATTCTCTTGCCAGCAAGAATCCACAATAAGCACCAGCTGTCATTTGAAACACAGAAAGTTATTTCACTATGGTTTCTAAGGATTGCCATAGTCCCACTGTCTCCCCCCCAAATTGCCATAGTCCCACTGTCTCCCCCCCAAAACCAAGGTGCAAGATATTCCCTGAGGAAGTGGGGGACTGGGGCAGAGACCACATGGCTGCAAGAAAGGATCCTCTTCTCCAACCCTGACTGTAAAGCACGAAGCCTTTGTGCTGCCACTGCCTCTCCCTGCCTGACAGCGAGCTTGGAGGACATGGACAAGGCTCCCTTTGTAGCCTTGGCTGAGCAGAGCACCACTCTTACGTTGACTGGCATAGAGGACGAAGGCTACGGGGCTGTGGCTCCAGCACAACAGCGTCCGAAAGGAAAGCTGTGAGTGGCTCTCGAGCCAGGCGCAATCTGCGTGTGCACAGCGTTCGTCTCCGGAGCTCCCCGAGCGGCAGAAGTGGGAGGTGCGAAGGGCCCCGCGGGTGCTCCAGCGCCTGCCCACACGCTGGAGGTCCCATCTAGCGTTTGTTCTGCTGGCAGCAGGCAAATACTCACCGAAAGCAGACAGAAAGGCCAGGAAAAGCAGCACGCAGACCCCAGAGTTCTTTTTGGCCATCTCTTGCCTGAAAAAGAAGGAGTCGCAGTGTTGGCAGCGCTCAGGGTTCGATGCAGACCCCTTCTCAGGGGCATCTCCTCTTACAAGCTGCAAAGCAGCAAGGTGGGGAATCCGCTGCTGGCAAAGAACAGCCAACAGAGCAGCCTCCAGAAGGAGAGGGGCTTCCCTCAGCTACCTCCAGCACCACAGGCAAAACATGCCAAAACCTGGTTCCAGCAGCACCTTCAGGAAGGGCACTGAAGTAACCCAGGCAGGAAAGCAGACCCGGCAAGTGAAGGCGGTGGCTCATGGGAACTCCATGCTGTGGGCTTGACTTCTCTTTTGCTGAGGAGTCAAATCTCCTTCTACAGGAGATGAAGAAACGCCTCCTGCTTTGAGGTGCCCTCCACAGGCAGGCTGCAGCCGTCTACTCCTGGCCTCCTTTAACTCCTGCTGCCTCTCACCGTCACATCCCAGCCAGAGGCTCGGATGAGAAGTTTTGAGCTGTGTCAGGTGCGTGCACTGGGGCTTTGCTCCCATTCCCTCCTCAGCCGCTGCCATGGCTCCGGAAGCACGGAGCTGCTGCTGGCAGGAGCCAAGTTCTTTCTCCTGGTGGGTAGCACCGCCAGCCTGGCCTGCCCACCCTGACCCACGGAGACCCCCAGTACCACATCGTGCAGGTGCTGTACTCACACAGTGGAGATGCTTGCGCCAAAGAATCTCTTGAGGGAGACCGCGATCTGAGAGTTTCTCAGATCATTTCTGATGTTTGTCCCTGACAAAGAAAGGGGAGAAAGAAAAAAGTCAAGCACGTCCTCAAAGCATACCAGCCAGGACCATGTCAGACGCTGTAAGAAGGGCTGGGAGCCGGTGCAGATGACAGCAGGGGCAGGGGCAGGGCTGCGGCTGCGTCCTGGAGAAGGGGCAGCTGGGTGCACCCTGCGAGCGGGACTCCGAGGGCTGCTAAGGATTGCCTAGCAGGCACAGCGTGACGGCATGTTCGAGGATGGAGGTCAGCCCTCAGCTTGCAGCCCCAGCTCCTGAGGTACTGGGGTGCCCCGTGCTGCCCAGAACGTTCCCCAGAAACCTGGTGCAGCAAAGCGGCCCTCAACTTACCCACACTGTACACAGCACTGCTTCTGCAGCTGGCTGGCGCTGTCTGGGCAACCGGAGAGGGGATGGAGCTGTGGAGGAAAATGAAAAGCCCTGCTGTGCATCGTCTCCACACCATGGGAGCCGTGGCCAAGCGGGACTGATCAGCCGGGAGGCCCCAGCCAGAAGAGACATCTACCTGTTTCCTGGGAGACAGCTGCTCTCCATTTCTGCACCTCTCAAGTTGCTGCCAGCCCTTCCTACCGCCACCCTTTGAGGGGGCCTCTGTGCCCCTCTTAGTCTCTGAGGAGACTTTGTCCTCCTCATGCTGTGGAGGAATCAAGCTTTCCCCCTCTCAGTGTCCCCTTCAGCAGCAGGAACGTCTGCGCAGAAGAAGGCCACTGAGCAACAAGCCCAAAACTGATCCGCAGGAGAAGCGCGCCTGCCCCGAGCACACAGCCACAAGGACACCACCGCGAGCTCCTTCCACACGCGTTGGCAGCCACGGCCAACAGTGCCAGGTGGCGGCTCAGTGGGGCAGACTGTGGCACCCAGTCCTGACATCACAAAGGCCTGGGCCTGCACAGCATCAGCTCGCGTCTATGACCTCAGAATCGGGGCTAGGGGTCAGCAGGGCTGGGAGGTGGGAGACCCCGCCAGTTTCATGGTATGTCCGCCCTCGACAGCCCTGGTGGGCCCAGCTAATTGTAGCCCAAAGCTCGTGAGCCATTTCACTATCATCAGATATCTCCATGGTGTGCTGTCATGGGCTATACCTGCGCTGCAGAAAGGGATCAGCTTGGATCCTGCATGTGGGACAAACAGCATCACGGTACTTCCATGAGTTACCACAGAAACCGTTTTTCACTCTTATTATTAAATCTTGGCTTGACTTTGAACTCCTGAGTATTCCAATCGTATACTGCGAGAAATGTGAGCAACATCGTGAGATGTACTGGTACAAACCAGTTCTGTAGTTTGAATGCCAGGCAGAGGGGAAGGCCAACTATGAGAGGCTGTGCCAGCATGCCGTACAGGTAAAAACTAAAGAGAAGAGGAGGAGGAGAACGCGGAGGGGCTAACCAAGGACAGGGATGGGACATCGGCTGAGGGAATGGGGAGCCTCGCACAGGCTGTGGGGCTGGAAGTCCTCGGCCAGTGAGGGAATGGGAGAAAATATGCACTGGGAAGTAGTAAACAGAAACTGTTGGGTCACTCTGATCTGACGTGCCCTTGTCAAGTTTCACCCGCTTTTGTAAAAGCGCGTAAGGAACTGCAATTTCTAGCAAATTTCACCTAAGCCCCAACTACAATACAATACAATACAATACAATACAAGCATTTCTCACACGGTTAGCACGTGTGCCACAACTCAACCAGCAACGCTTGGCAGGAGGTGAGTGGCAGGGGTCAGCTGGGAAGTCCCATAGGCAGCATTCACAGTCAATGCCTTGCCCAATGCTCTGCTTATCCCTGCCTCTTTCCCAACGTACAGGACCACCTTTGTCACAGCGCCAGTCTCCGCAGACAGGCAAATTACCTCCTTCCTCAGGAACTGAATCTCTTGGGCTTGTTCACTCGCCAGAGAGGGCAAGCTGCTGCGGACACACAGGTCAGAGAGCTGCCCAGCCCTTGACAAGCACTCGGAGCTCACAGATGAGCAGACACTCAGGCACTCCTTTGGGTCTCCCTTTCTTTGCAAGCTTAGGGGAGTCTCCCATCACCTCCACATTTAGCAAAAGGCAGGGAGGGAGAGGTATGAGGCCTGGGCAATGTGCAAAGCAGCGCAAATGGCGAGAGCTCATCTGCCACTATCCCACTGAGAGAGCTGCAGGTCAGGTGGGGGGCTCTTATCGTAAGCTCGTCAGGAGTGGAGCAGTCTGTGACGACAGTGCCTGCAAGGGAAAGGCTTTCCATTGCAGCACCAGTCACTGCTGGGAGCAGGAAGATGGATGCCTGTGCTCTACAGATGTCCTTGGTGGGAATGTCTTGGCTTTCACAGAATCACACAGAATCACAGAATGGCCAGGGTTGGGAGGGACCTCAAGGATCATGAATCTCCAATCAGCATGCAGGGCCACCAGCCTTCCCATTTAATGCTAGAGCAGGCTGCCCAGAGCCCCGTCCAGTCTGGCCTTGAACACATGCAGGGACAGGGCATCCACAACCTCTCTGGGCAGCCTGTTCCAGCACCTCACCACTCTAATCTTGACAGCGACAAATGACTGCCATAGTCCCAGTGTCTCCTCCCAAACAAGGGTGGAAGACCTGCGGGATGGGTCAGAGAGCACATGGCTGCAAGCCATTCATTTGCTTGGGAGCTTGTCACAGCCCTGGTCTCCAGGTACATTCAGCACCCAGCAGCTACCCCAACTTTCCCTTCTCTCACTAATGGTTACCATCATCCCCAGGCTCTTCTATGTGGAAGAGTGACCTTCCCATCCCTCTCTTTCCAAACAGCCATTCAATCATAGAATCTATTATTCTATTAATCTATTGTATTCTATGGCTTCATGTAGAATAATGGAATATTCTATTCCATCCTTTTCTATCTGTGAGTCTACGATTCTATCACCATCACACCTTGCAAAAAGTTGGTCTCCCTCCTGCATAGATGCTCCCCTGAAGTGCTGGAAGGCCGCAACGAGGTCTCCCTACAGCCACTCCTTCTCCAGGCTGAACAAGCCCAGCTCCCTCAGCCTCTCTTCATACGACAGGTGCTCCCATCCTCCAAGCACCTTCCCAGCCTCTGTGCCCACTCCACCAGCTCCGCATCTTCATTATGCACCAAGTCATAACCGTGCATGAACAGGACGAGGTGAGGGTCATACGTGGAGCAGAAAGCACTCTGACCAACTGATGGCCATGACTCTTGCTTCAGCTTCCTTATACACAACCAACCTATAAGCTAAAATCTAATGTACGCAGTATGTGACCACTGCAAAGACAGAGTTGCGGCACAGAAGTTTAGAAGAACATACAGCTGGAGCCAGAAATGTTTCGATGACAACAAATTCTCTACCTGAGTAAATTCTTGCCATGAATCTGATAAAAAAGTTAGGCAGAAGAGTCCACCCCCCATTAATGTGTTATGGCTTTACACACGTATCAGATGTCCAAACAATTAGAAATGCTTCTTGTTAAAGGCACTTACTATTTTTAATTTCCATTTCTGAATTTCCATTTCTATTCTTCCATATGGAAATTGACATTGGTACCAGTGCCTCCTGCGATTAATCAAGACTGACTTGGAGGTTTCCCCTTTGGAGTCTTGAAACTCCCTCTCTCCAGAATAGGATTATATAAAGCTTGATAAGCAGAAGCCAAGCTGCAAATAAGCCGTTCCTTCTCAGATCTTTCTGAGCTGCACCATCCCTTACCCAAATGCTCGCTTCGTTCCTCAGTGTCCCTCTGACAGTTGTTCAAGAGTAAAATCCCACGACACCGGGTGTCCCCACGCTTTCAATGTCTTTCCTAGACCTTGATATTCTCTGCCACTCCACATTCTTTGGTTTTGGGAAAAGCTTCCTCCACATAATGTAAAATAGTACTGCAGGGAATACATTCAGGGAGAGTGATAGCACAGTACCTAAGCTGGCTACCCGAACATGCATAATGAACTGAGAAGAGCATCTGGAAACCAGTCCAAACATCATATTGTCTGTTAAGTTAGCTGGCACGTATAAGAACCAGGCAGGTATCTCCATCACTGCCCTTAATTGGCTATGGGTATGTGCAGCTCTGACACTAAACATGATGAACTTAAAAAGGAAGCAATATGTTCCGAGGAATATCATAGTCCTCTATACAGTGCTCTTAAGATGAAGTAGAGATCCATAGCTGCCTGCATTCTCCACCAATAATTGTCACAGAGTTATGCCTAGATCTAAGTGTGTGACGGGGGGGCACTGGCCCGGGAAAAAGAAAAGGAGAGACAAAGGAACGAAGAAGAAAAAGAAAAGGGTACTATCAGTTTGGCATGCGATTTGGCCAGCCGCGGCATACTTTGTGTTTTCCTGTGACACTGCCACATCAGTCTGACTTTTTTTTCTGTTAACTCACATCTCTGTGCTGTGAAGCAAGATGCGCAGGGAGATTTTAAGTGTCTTAATTTTGTCTGCTAAATAGACCGTTGATTCTCGGAATCGTAGAATCATAGAATCATAGAATCCTTTGAGCTGCCAGGGACCTTTAAAGGCCATTTAGTCCCACTCCCCTTCAGTGAACAGGGATGTGCACAGCTACATCACGTTGCCCGGAGTTTAATCCAGCCCCTCTTTGATAGTCTCCAGGGATGGAGCATCAACCACATCTCTAGGCAAGCTGTTCCAGTGCCCTCACTGTAAAAGACTTTTTCTGTATATCCAACCTATATCTGCCCTCTTCAAGCTTGAAGCCATTTCCCCTTGTTCTGTCTCCAGAAGAGACCCTGCTAAAGAGTCTGTCCCCTTCTTTCACGTAACTCCCCTTGAGATACTGAAAGACCACTGTCAGATCACCTTGCAGCCTTCTCTTCTGCAGGCTGGACAGTCCCAGCTCTCTCAGACGGTCCTCATTTCTGTCGCCGTCCTCTGGACGCGCTCCAGCAGATCCACGTTTCTCCTGCATTGATTACCATAAGTCTGAACGCAGTGCTCCAGGTGAGGCCTCACCAGCACATGGTAGAGGGGCAGTTTCA